TTTTTTTTTTTTCGCTAAATTAAAAACATTTTCGATGGAAAAAAAAGGTGAAATAATATTTGACGAGCTCAATCATTTGAAATAGAGAAAAAAATCTCTCTCTTTCTCTCTCTCTCTCTCTCTCTCTCTCTCTCTTATGCTGGTAACACCTGCGTCGTATACGTTACGATTGTTGAAGCGTAACCATCATCGGATTCACAGTCGGTGGATATCACGTCCAGTGTACTATTTACACCGCACTTTATTAGCCACTGTAGTATTGTACTTCGAACGGATCTAGTCGAACCGTATAAATAACAAATAACCCTTTTCAAAAGAAAATTCAATGAAATTTGGTTTGATAAGTTGTAAAGAAAGTCAATCTTTCCTAAAATGTCAACGTTAATATTACTTTATATCGTAGCATCAAATGAGACGTTTCATCAAATGCAACGAAACGTGCACGACGTTAAGCAAACATTTACGAAAATTTCGTCAACTTTCTATTCGTTCGTAGTAGTTTGTATTTGCAATGGGTTGTGCAATTTGTACGTAGTCTGAACAATTATGTATAAAATTTTTAAACATAAATTTCTTTTACACACACACACACACACACACACATTTTTTTTACCAAATATTATCAACAAACGGATATATATTTGAACGGTTATCTTTATTTTCTTTTTCTTTTTCTATTTCTTTTGTAATAACACGAAATGAAATTCTTTAGTCCTCCCATTCCCCATTCCCATAGGCTAAAAGATGAAAAGAAGATATTCGTGAATTCGTATTCGTACACACGTTCGTAAAAATCAATTGAAAATAAATCAAAATAAAATGAACATATATATATATATATAGCTATGTCTGACGTGAACATATTATATACGAAAGAAGAAAGAATAAAAAGGGCATGGGTAGTTTCGAGTTAAAGGACAAGTGTTGAGAACACATTGTAACGTGGGAAAAATGTTTTTTCCCCCAACCATTTCTCTTCCTGATTCTTTTCTTTATCGTATCTTTCTACAAATGGTTTTGTATCGTATACTCAACGATATAAGGACCAAAAGACATTCTTGTCCAGGTACGTACGTACGTGTACTTTTAGTTTCAAACGGAAAGACAGTCGACCGACCCCATTTTACAACTCTGTGTTTACCTCGAGCTCACTTGGACGTATCACTTTGTGCGCCTTTTGATTTCGATTTCTCACCAAGATGTCTCGGAGATTTTCAAACTAGATACATTTCGTATCACTTTTCTACACGTGCTCACACACACACACACATACACACACACATTTAAGTATTTACCTAGAATAATTCGAGACAATCCATGAAACGTTAGATAATATCTTTAATATTGTGAACACCTTGAAACATTTACGAAAAAAAAAAAATAATACTATCTGTGTGTGTGTGTGTGTTAATAAGAAATAATAATATCAGCATGTCATACGTAGTATGAAAAATCTTTTGACTTTTTCTTTTTGTTAGCTTTTCCTATCATCATGATATAATGTTTCATGTTGATCTTCAAGAAAGATCGTAGAGATTAAAATTCTATTACCAAAGTGTAAGCCCATTTAATCGTTCGTCGTTTGACCAGTTTCACCAAAATTCTCCACATAATCAGAAATTCTAATATAGTCCATGAGAGATATGGTATAAATTATATCAATTTGCTTACTTGATTGGTATTCGACGTAAACTCGAATAAAAACGATACTTTACAAAAGTTTTAATTGATACCTTTTTTATTAGAAATAAATAAATAAATAAAGAAGAAGAAGAAGAAGAAGAAGAAAAAAATAATAATAATAATAAAGTAAGAAAAGAAAAAGAAAAATCGTTGAGCAGTGACTAACCCAGGAGGAGGGAGTGAGAGAAAAATCGAATCGATATATACTCGAAGTTTTTATATTTGTTAAAAATAAAATTATATATATATAGACTAGGTCTTTAAATCAACGAATTACCTTATACCGCCATCTGTTAGAATGATATAAACTATCCTATCTTTCAAGTTGGATGAAACTACATATAGTTTGCAAAATTTTATTCAAATCGGTTTAGTAGTTTAGGAGTTCATTACGGACAAACAACGCGACACGTAATTTATACGGTGACGGCCCCCCCCCCCCGGAGAAGCATGTCCGTCTCCGGTATACGGTGCCATGACGACGAACGTGTTAAGTACACTTAACCACACATCTGACTATATTCCTAATCAAATAAACGTTTGTATTAACACGCGTAAATAATCTAATATTTACTAGTAAGATATCTCATTATCTTTTCAACATACCGTTTTACAAATTGTTTTGTTTTTCTTTCACTTTATTTCTCTAACCATTACTCAAAAGATAATTCGTTTTCGACTAATTGTAAGTCTTTCATTAAATATAAACGCGAGTAGAGTTTGTCCCCCTCCTCTGTTTGTTCAATTAAATCTTTCTCTTAAATAAATAAAATATATTTAGCACCGTTCATTCATTGGCGTTATTTGATACGGTTGTCCGTACGAAAGTAGACATAATTTGTTAAGGAAACAGTATATAGTCGTGTATATATATATATATATATATATATATATATATAGAGATCGCGTAATACGGCTGTTTGTCCGGAAAATTGAATTTCCAGATAGAACGGCACAAAGTGACACAGGACTCACGCACACGCAGAAAATCGGTTTCACGCTTACAAAGAGAACCTTGTACGATCGGTTTTACCCCTTTTTCCCTTTAGAATACTCGTGTCATCAACATGTCATTCATAGATTCGTTAATGAACCTTCACAGTTACGTTGAACTGCATTCTTTTCTTGTTTTTTTTTCTCATATTCTCTGCACCACGTTCCATCCAATTAAATGTAATCAAACTTCAATACCGTTAATCTCTCGATTCGTTGCAATCTTTTGATATCTGCTAAAGATTTCTTGTTTTTTTTTTTTTGTAATCTTAGTTTGAAAAATGTCTAAAATTAAACCTTCTAGACTAGAATAACTCCCTTAAACAACAAAAACAAAGGAATTTTATTCAAACTTCAAATATAGTGTTACTACTTTAGTATTGTTGAATGATATAATAATTAATAACAATTGACAATATATAAATATTATATTGACAAATTTAACGTTTTAATTCTAGGGTATCGAGAATACGAACGATTAGAACGAATTAATGATTCGTTCAAGTCATTGTCGTGGGAAGATTCGGTCCCAGGACATCATGAAGCAACGAGTCCTACTCGCCTTTGCCAATGTTATCACTTCTTTTGCTTCATTTCTGTAAGTTAAATAAAGATAATTAAAAAATTGCATTGTTCAATACTCCATTTGTTTGTTTCTGTCAAGTACCTAAGACGATTTAGTATTTTTACGTGTTAAAAACACATTTACTTTAGTCACGAAATAATCGATAAAACGTTCGAATTCAACGTTCGTTCAATTACTTACCACTTGTTTGTATTTATTTACGAAATAGCTTAGAAAAAGTATTACGGTGAGATATAAATAATAGAACAATTACAAAGAACAAACTAAAATAAAAAAAACAAGTAAATAATAATACAAACGGCTTATAACACCGTGAAACGTAATCAAATTTTTATGCAACATAGGACTATTTTATTATCTACAATTCTATGCCGCAAAGGGTTAAATAAAATTAAAATATTTCTTTTTTTTTTTTTTAATAATACCTAAAATGAATCTTATTTTACAATTTCTAAAAGTTTCACAAAAATTGCTTCATTAGTAACAAAGTTATGATAATTTTAGAACGTACAAGTTTGCCCAAAAACATGCGGTCCCAGGTATAAGTTTGACTGATTTCTCATTGGTCCTTAAAGTGTTAAGAAATAATATATCAAATTTGAAAGTAAATATATTTGTTATTTTAATAACTTCCGTTATTACGTCAATTGTCATAATTGGCACGTTTTTTATTTATAATTATTTAATAACCATCATTTTGTTCTTATTAACCATCCAACTGTAATGATCTAATTTGATTTTAATAATAGGTTAGAAAATAATGTCACTTACATCAGTGATAAAAATACTTGACAAAAAATCTTGATAGTCTCTTTTTTACAGTGTAACGACGAGTGCAAAAACATCAATGAGACAAAGAACACAAAGTAACAATCATAGCAACATTAGTGAGTTACTCGACAATCTTCTTCGTGGTTACGACAACAGCGTGAGACCGGATTTTGGTGGACCACCAGCAACGGTAGAAGTTGACATTATGGTCCGTAGCATGGGTCCAATCTCTGAAGTCGACATGGTAGATCTTTTTTATCATTGTAATAACAAAAAATTAAGAAAAATTTGTTAAAAATATTTCGTTTACAGACATACTCGATGGATTGTTACTTTAGACAGTCATGGGTAGATAGACGTTTAGCATTTCAAGGTGGCAAGGAAACACTCGCTCTCAGCATATCAATGTTGGCAAAAATTTGGAAACCCGACACTTACTTTTATAATGGCAAACAGAGCTATCTACACACCATCACTAGTCCAAACAAGTTTGTCAGACTTTATAAAGACGGTAGGGTGCTGTATAGTTCACGGTGAGTATTTTTAATTAACGATAGACACTAAATATTGATTTTATTTAGAAGTAGAAACAAAAAAAGGCAAAATTGTGGACAGAGGATACTATTACTATTTTAAAGCTTTCTACTAGTTTCACGATAGGTTCGATGTAATCGTACTTTTCAATCAAAAATTCTTTCTTAGATAGATCAGATGAATGTAAGAGCAGTCACCCGAAAAGTGAAAGGTCCTGAGTTCGAATCCTGGTCTAATTAACAATGAGTAGGTTTAAACTGTTGTTGTTTATGTTCCTTTAGAAAGATGAACTAGTAAATAAGCGGTTGTAATGATAAAGATTTTGAAGAAGCTATGAAAACAAGAAAGGGAAGTAGAAAAAAGGAATTTATTTTATTTACTAATTAATCCTGTTAGGGTATTAATATATTAAAGAGGATACATGGAAATATATATAATATTTCGTTTATATATATGTAAAGAGAGAGAGAGAGAGAAAGAATAAGGTGACAATAAAAGACTTGAGGAATAACTTCGCCACACTCTTTTTTATTCTTCTTTTGTCACTCGTTGTTTGCAGTTGAAAGTATCTAACAAAAGCTAGATGAATATTTTGCCTGTGTAGATTTTTTACTGCAAAGTACTACCATCCCCGTTCAGTCTCTTCGAAATATTCTCATAGCAGTAGTAGTAGTAGTAGTAGTATCTCTTAGGTGGCATAATATACATGACATGCCCCAGGCCGAGGGTAGCCCGAGAATCAAGGGTTAATTCTGGCGTGCACAATGGAGCCGATTCAGAAGACTAGGTCAAGAGAAAGGGAATGGTTTAACAAAGAGGAAACATACATCGTTCGTTCGTTCTTTCGTTCGTTCGTTCGTTCATTCGTCCGTCCCTCGAATCCGTGGACTCTCCTTCTTTTTTTTCTCTCTCCCGTATTTGTATTTGACTTATCCGCTAATTCCACGTTGAAATAACGCTCCCGTGGCTGCTTCCAACAGGGACCATTGAAAAATTCAAGGACACTCTTTACTCTTCGAATATCAAATGCTGACGAGGTTAAACACCCGATCTTTATTCGTGCCAGTAGATAGTCGAAAAACGATATGTTATATATTTTTATCTCTTTTTTTTTTGTCCAACCACCCTCTCGCCCCCCCCCCCCACATCCCCTATTCCCCGCTTTACGCTATTTCTATTTTCTTTTTTCTTTTTTTACTTTCATCGGTACAAGTACTTTTTTTTTTTT